AAAAATTAAGCATTAAAAGCCCATCACACCTCTGCATGTATCCACCCAAAGAATTTAAAGTAGAGGCTGGAACAGATGTTGATATTGATACATTGATATTGCGACATCTCCTTCCCTGGGAAGTACTATGGGCAGGAGATTCTCAGAAACTGGACGCTCCAGTAAGAGTCAGGGGAATTTTTGTGGGTTTTTAGGCAGAGGTGTGTGTGACATTTTATAGTGATTTCCCTGAAGGCAGAGCCTCCAGGATATGGTGAGAATGGAGGCAGGGAGGCTGGATAAGAGGCTCCTGCTAGAATCTCATCAATACCTGACCTCATTAGTGAACAGAGGAACTCAAACAGTAGAGGCCAGCTCTGCCCGGATTGCAGGCTCACAGAGTGGACAGTCTCCTCTTCTGCCATCTGCCATCTGCCATCTGGCCAGAGTCCCAAAGCAGTCGGGATGCCCCGATCGTGGTCGGGAACATTCAAAACCGTGAGCCCAAATAAACCTTCTCTATTTATATGTGACGGAGCCTGGAGTGTTTCATCCTGGTCACTGTGAAGCCGGCTAATATCCCGTCAATGATCCTCCATGAGGACCAGACTGTAAATAAATTCAATGATCCTTCAAGGTTTGCTGTCTCCTTAACAAAGCCTGATGGATTTCTTTAAAGGAAAGGGGCCAAGTGTCATTGGTGGCTCAAGACAGGGAAGGAGCCGGGCACCAGGACACACACACACACCTGTCATCCCAGCGGCTCGGGAGGCTGAGGCAGGAGGATCGAAAGGTGGAGGCCAGCCTCGGCCACTGAGTGAAGCCCTAAGCAACTCAGGGAGACCCTGTCTCTAAATAAAATAGAAAATAGGGCTGGGGACAGGGCTCAGGGGTTAAGCACCCCGGGTTCCATCCCTGTCCTTTACACCCCAGACACCGGTCCGTTTCCCTTGCGGGTCACTCTGCTGCCCGGTCCCCCCAGCCCGTGATGTCAGGTGCACACCGTTCTCGGTTTTTTCCCTTTATTTCCTGTCCTTCTCCCGAGGCTGCACCTGTGTGTCCCCAAGCCTGGGGCACCGAGGGCTGGACAGACAGACAGGAGGAGAATAATGGGGGGTGGCAGAGTCAGATGACACCATCAGCCAGAGAAACCTCCAGGGGCCTTCGAAGGAGCTGGTTGGTGAGCAGCTTGGCCAGGGTGCACGGCTGGGGACGCCCCACGCTGGTGTCCATTCCCGAACCCTGTCCCCTCCCCCCCCAGGGCTCCCAGCCAAGCTGTGTGGTCCTGGCCAAGTGGCTTCACCTCTCTGGGCCTGGACGGGTTCGTCTGTGTGATGAAGTGGTCATGGTCCCCCAGTCCAGGACACTAGAGGGTGACACCAGCCCTGTGGCCCAGAGGGGACAGGTGCAGGGGGAGACCCCGGGGCTGGGAGGTGGGGACAGGC